AGTGTCCCTAGAAGGCTTCTATAGGCACCTTGCATTTTGGCTCAAGCCCAGGTTGTGGTGTTTCTCTGAGCCAAGATGGCTTCTGAGCAGGCAGGGATCTGGAAGCAGGTGTGCACTATCGAGCTGGACACACCTGGCCATTCCACATGAGGATTGTAGGGCTTTTGGGATAGGTTCCCATGGAATTAGCCCAGCCCCTGTAATTAATGAAGAGGGTTATAAAAGTGAAGTTTGGGAGGAAAGCATTTATATTGTGCTTTGAATTGAAGAGGATCATTAGAATTATTCAGTGTGAGTTTTGCCAATGTTCCTGTGGCTCTGGGATACTCAGATATGTTTGGTGAGAGGAGCAAGATGTCAGTGGTTTGGAAAATTCAACCAGATCTTTTTCTGACGCCAGTTGCCCCTCTGTGGGACTTGTCAAGCTGAGCTGTGGCTTGGAAATGCAGTAAGTGATGCTGTCATGTGGGAGTACCACATGTGCTGGGATTTTGTGTAAAAGAAGTGTGTGTGCCAGCTCATGGATAAGCTATACTGATGCTGAGGAGTAAATTGGCATTGCAGAACTACATTCAGCAGCACTGACCAGGAGCTGTTCAGGGTGTTCCATGCAAAAACAAGCTGAGTTTTTCCACATTGGTGTTTCTGTTTTTCTAGACTTGCTCTAGATGAGGGTTAGCTAGCTGCACTGCCTCTGGAGGCAGTAGGTCCTTCAGCACAGGACTGACCCTCTGCACAATTGAGTCTTCATGGGTTCGTACAGTACCTTGCATTGATCCATCCTGTAGGTCCTTTTGTGCTATAGGCTGCTTCCTCACAGCAGTATCTCCACTGGACAGTGATGGAAACCATCCTTCAACAATGGTAATGATCTGGGTGAGGTTGAGCATGCTCTCCATGCTTGGGAGTCCATTGTGTGAAAGGCCTGGGTACGAGTGTCCAGTGTGAGGTGTCAGGACGTGGTCATGTAATCTTTCCTTTTTTAAGAGGTGCAGGAGAGGTGTGCTCTTGGTATCTTTTCTTTACCCCACTTCTGAAAAGAACCCTGTTGATCACATGGGAAGAATGGAGAGGTGTGCTGGGAAGCCTTTTTCTTCTGCCCTGGGAATAACAGAGACTGGCAACTGAAGCTCTTGAACAGGAAGGGGAGATCTTCAGCACTTCATCTGTGATGTGGAACCAAGATCTGTGGTTTGTATGGGGCTCCTCTGACCTTCTGTCATGTCCTTGAGCCTTGTGACATCTATGTCATGTCTGTACAATAAAGCCAAGGTGTCAGTGGAAGTCTCATGTACAGCCATTAACTTTGAACTCTGTCCTCCGTACTGGTGCCAATGGTTAGTCCCCGATGCTTTATTGAAACTGAAGATCAATACATTCAGGGGTAGCTTTCATTGGACTACAATGCAAAGTGGAGGGAAATTGCTGTGTTTTCTCATGTACTGTTCAGTTTTAAGAGATGAATGGTACCTTGCACTAACCAAGGAGCTTCAGTTGTCACACCTGTAAAGCATGTCTCTGCCTTTTTTATCTGTGCAACTGCAGAAGAAGGCATCTATAGACCTCATCCTGAAACACCAATTGAAGTGGTCTTACAGGTCCTCCACTATTTACCCAGGAGCACTGGAGAGAGAGTGCAGTAAAGTAAATTGATCACTCACTGACAGGAGCTCCTTTAAGGGTTCTCATTTTGTTGTGACTCCTTCAGAATTGTACGTCACCTGGAGGGTTGGTCCAAGTCCTTAACTGACCTTTTACTAGGCAAGTATGGAACCTGCAGAGCTCAGCCTCCCACAAAATGGGGTTGAGACAGTCTCTGCTTAATCTAGAGCATATTGGGTTTTGTTACTACAGTGCAGTGAGAGAACATCTTTTGTTGATTTATTTAATATGGGTACAGGGCACAGTTACCATTCTACCTCAGTTATTTTGTATAGCTACTTTGGCATTGTGGAGAGGACGTGGGGGCAGGCATGTAATTACTTGGTTATTATACTGGGGAGCTGCTTCTAATGCAAGCATTATTATTGGTCAATAAGGGGAGGCATCTATTCAATTCCTGTTGGCCAGACGTGGGGAGCTGAGAAGCCAATCAGATCGTTTTCTAGATGACGATCTTCAAACACTCCTCTCAGAAACCGGATATGTTTGAAGTTCTTAAAAGTACAGAACTGGTAGGATTACAGGAAGACACAGTTGTATAAATTAAATAGAAGGGAATTTTCTATCCTCTGAATCATATTTACATCTTCATTCAAACACAAGACACAACATGAAGAAAACTCTGACTTCCTGATACAGGGGAGTATCAGGCAGAATGCCAAGTTTGCACCATGAGTGTGTGAGACGAGAGATGAAAGAATTTAGGAATCCCTATATCTGTGACAGTGCTGACTTTCTGATGAGAGAAAAAGAAACACGTTAGTGTTCATTTGCTAATGAAAGGACTCTCTCCAGTTTTAATTGGATTATTTTAGACCTGAAGGCTTCTTCTTCTGGGAAGGAGAGATCCTGCACACTGAGCTCGTTGGAGGACACAGCTGCCACAATGCAGGTAGGAGTATCTCTGCTCTGCCGGCGCACAGCCTGTGTTTTACAGTACAGGCTCTTTTGCACAAAGCACCTGTCAAATGTAAAGCGCTTTGTAAAATACCATCTCTTCCCTCGTGTATACTTGTCTCTGTCGTAATCATGTGTGCACCTGTCCTCCAGTAGTGTCTGGACGTAAACTGGATTCTCTAAGTATCACTCTGTCCGCCTGCTTCATTGGAAGAATGTATGAATGTTCTTGTAAAATGTTTATTCATGGAAGATAAACTTTTGATGTTCGTTATCACATCACTATGTTTTGAACTACGAATTTCTGTTTGTATAACTTTTGTGATGCCACCACAGGCACTGCACTGAATGGGAGGTAATTTAAGATTTCACTCAGACTTTTGATCTCATTAAGATCGTGGAACTGAAGTACTGCAACATAAAGCACCGCAATGATGGTAGAAGTGGAACGAAACAGAGGAGAACTCGTACCCACAGGCCACATAAATCAAACCCAGAGATGACAGAGTAGAAACTGAAGCCAAGCTGCACACAAACTACAGCTGACTGGATGTGGTGAGTACATGATTTCCCATTTGGAAAAGGACATAGGGAACATGTTGGAAGACAACAGGAAAACAAAGACTTTGTATTAAATAAACCATAGCAAAACAAAGAAAGGGCTGGGGAAGAAGAGAGAAAAAGCAAAAGGTAAAGAAATAATCAAGAACAGATAGTATAAGATAAAAGAAGTAAAAAACAGACAGATCTACAATCCTTTAACTCACCAGATCAAGGACTCCTGTCTGTTTCTTTATGACCTCCTTACCTGCCATGGGAGTTTGGGCAGGCGTTTGCAACTCCTCTGTAGATTTCTCCTGATGCCGATTATAAAACTGCCTCAGAACTTAATTTAGGGAGATTTCAATGGCTGTTTGCTTAAGTCAGTTCTCCCTAATGATGAACAGTCTGTAAAAGGGTACACAAGAGGTTCTAGAACGTTAGATCCCTGTTATGGTAACATTAAGAATGCCTGTAAAGTTCATATCGAACCACCAACATCTGATCTAATCCAAAAAGAAAGAGCAGGAATTCAAAGC